CCATCCACTCCCTAGCAGCGGGCCTGGCTCAGAGTTAGCCCTCAATAACGGCTGAGCAATGCCATCTCTTAGCTGAAAGCCTACTGAGCCCTGACTGGCCAGGGACAAGGATGCGGTCCCATGAGCCAGTCAGTGGAACGCAAGCTGGAATGTGGACATAATGGGATCGCCACTTTAAGGCACTCAGCATCCCACCCATCTTGCCCCAGCTCGCTTGGGACTGCATGAGAACATTTCTGTTAATTGACCAACAAAGGAAGTTCAGTATTAAAGAACTTGGGGGTGGGGGACAGCCAGCTCGTGGTCCGCACTTGCCAGGCACTGATGTTTCCTCGCCTGGATTCGTTTACTCACCTGGCACATTTATTGAGTGCCTACTAGGTTCAAGCAGTGCTCTAGACTGGGGAGAGAGCCCTGAGCCAACAGTCCGCCCGCAGTCACAGGAGAACAGGTACCGCGCAAGCGCGTTTCAGAGCACTCTCAGTGCTGCAAAGGAAACAACTGCTTCCAGGAGCAGAGGAGAGGGAGGACAGCTTAGCAGGTGGGAAGGACGGGTGTGTGAGGGGACCCCGTGCCAGGCAGCGAGCACACAAGTGCAAAGGGCCTGAGGCTGCAGGGTGCTGCTGGAGCTAGGTGGGCAGGACACAGGGGGTGGGTGGGGCTGAGGGGGAGGCGGGGCCAGGCCACAGGGAGGAGGCTGGGTTCCATTAGGTTCTGTTCTATTCTATTCTATTTTAAAACAGAAAATGACATGTCTAGAGATCCCAAGAGAATGGGGCCCTACACAGAAAAAGAGGGAGAGCAGCAGGTGGTGGGGAGGGACTGCTTGGATGAGCATCCTGCTCTCAAATACCCAGGACACAGCAGGAAACATGAGCCTAGCGCCGAGCAAGCCGAATCCCGGTCTCTGCGCATCCACACACTGCCCAGGCCAGCCCTCCTGCCGCCGCCCCCTGCTCACTCTGCAGTCCCCGGGCAGCCTTCTGCCTCTGCTCTCCCCCAACATGGAATGTCTTTGGATGCAAAGGGACATCAAAAGTTTTGTAGGAAAGTGGAATTAAAATATGAGTTTATTTTTGTACACACACAAAAAATCTGAAATCCACACACAGTTTTCTATGCTCCGCGTTGTCCACGAACCGGTATTTGCGCCTTTTATGGCAGCCAGAGAATGCAAGGTGGAGTTCACTGGGCCCCGTCCTCCTCTCCTTGGTCTGCCTGTCACATGTCTGCCATACTTCAAGCCTGTCTCAGACACCACCTTCCCCAACGAGGAAGCCGGACCGACCTGAATGTGGAGATGGTTTGGGGAGGGCTAGAGCGTCGCCACTCAGGTGTGGCTCTGGCCCAGCAGCATCAGTCCTATGATACCCGAGAGCTGGTGAGAAGTGCAGACCCACAGGCCCCCTTCAAGCCCTCTGAATCCGAATCTTCACTTTGACGAACACCCCAGGCGTCCCGTATGCACACTCGAGTTTGAGAAGCACTAGGCTGGGTTATGCTGCGGTGACAAACAGGCCCCCAAGACTCAGAGTCTCACTCCCACTCTGTCGGGGCCATGCTGGATCAGTAGGGCCTCTGGTCGTTGCGTACTCTCAGCCACCCCCTGGCAAAGGCCTTCACAACACAGCCAAACTGTCGTCTACGTAGGAGGGCAGAACGGGTAACAGGGACTGGATTAACTCTCCTGCCTAAACTTTCAAGTCTAAACAGAAAAAAAAAAATCTGAAAAAATGTCTGTCAGGTATCGGACCCTAAGAAGCAGTGACCTGGAGGAGGGGAACAAACAAGCCGTGTTGTACACTTGTCCCTGTCACTGGCTGGGGAGTTTCCAGACCACGGCAGGGAGGGAACCCCTGCAGGGCCGAGTGATCTCCCTGAGGTGAGGGGATGGAGTGGGAGAGCAACACAGTGAGGGATCCCACCGCCGTGAGCCAGGGAGGAGCAGGCTGCATGGAGAGGGTGGGCCCAGAGACCTGCAGAAGGCCCGAGCTTAGTCAGGACTGATCAGCACGTGCTATGGGCAGGGAAAGAACCACCTCGAGGAGCAGAAACCGTCTCCCAGTCGCACAGGCTGGAGACAGTTCCCGGTATCACCATCCAGAATGGAGAAACCTTGTCATTGGTGGGGCAGCTGGCAGAGCTCAGAAAGGTGTGGCCTCGGTCAGCGGCTGAGTGATCTCTAGACTAAAGGCCACTCTGGTCCCCACCCAAGCGTGGAGGCAAGACCCAGGTTGCAGCTTGCCTTTAAAATGTAACTCTGGATCATGTTGTTCTTTGTGTCAGGTACCTTCTGGGTCGGTACCTGCCGAAAATAAAACTGGGACGAATATTCTTCCCAAAAAAGAACCGTGTGAGATAATCCAGTGCATTTATACAGCCTGCACCTGTCTTCCTGCCTTTCCTCAGTGTAATAGAAGAATGTGTTCATCAATTTAGTCCCAAAATTTAACAGATAAAATAGCAACAAATACGTATCCTCCTACCCAGTTTCTGTGGTTAAGGAACTTGGGAGTGACTTAGTCTCGCTCAGGGTTTCTCATGTTACAGCCCAAATGTCAGTGAGGGTGGCTTCCTGTCCTCTAGGGACTCACTGCACTCGTGGCTGTTGACTGGAGGCCTTCCTGCACACGGTATAGACCTTCCTCTGGGGCTGCTTGAGTATCCTCACAGCATAGCGGTTGGCTCGCCCTAGACCAAGTGATCACAGAGACAATCACAATGTCTTTTTTTTTTTTTTTTTTTTGCTATAGAGGATGTATGCTTGCCAGAGAGTCAGAGAAACAGAAAACAAGAAATCACCCCAGGGGAATGGCCACACCACTATAACTCCTCCTCTGTTCTCTTCTCAGGATTTTGGGCATACACGCACATGCACCCAGCATGAGCTTTAAGCCCCCAGGCCTGGGACTTGAAACACAGTAGACCACAGAGGTGCCCAGCGCCTTAACCATTATGCCACCTGCTGGTTCCAAGCCACGATGTCTTTCGTGTCCCAGTCCGGGAAGTCACATTCTCCCATTTCCATGGTATCATCTTGGTTGCACACATCAGCCCTATTCAGGGTGGGGGTGGCATGAATACAAGGAGGCTGTGGTTACTGGGGCCATTTTGGAAGCCACGTGCATCACAGGCACCACGTAATATTATGTGCAAGTCACTCTACTGTATTCCTCCTCTTTCCCCCAGTCTTCATTCACTACAGGGTACGTGCATGTGCACAAGAGAAAGAGAGGGAGGGAGGGAGGGAGAGGAGCCCCCTCCACAGGGTCTAGTCTCCGCAGCCCTCTACTTTAGCCCTCCAGCTCACTGGATCTTGGGCACTTGTGCACACACCTGGCATGTTTCAGGCTGAACAGGCCAAGGTTCGAACCATAGTGACCATGTGGGATGCATTACACTTTACCATGGAGCCAGCCCTCTACTCTAGCCCTTATACATACTATGTCATTTAACCCTTGCTGTGATTATGTGGATACAGTGGGAGGTTAAATGACTTGTTGGAGACCACCAAGATAGCCAGTGGCAGAAGCCATGGCCTCTCTTGGCCCCTCTTTCATCTGGGCCTCTGTTCCCCAAGACTGCAGTGTTGCCCCTCCTTTTAATTCTGCAGGGCCTATGTCCAGAGGGCCCCCCATGGGTTTCTCCTGCCCCCAGCAACCCTGACTGTCTTCCCCTCATTCTCACTTAGACCTTACACAAATGGTGCTCAGCCCTGTTCTGGCTTCCAGGATCCTCGGCCCTGTTCCGGCTGCCAGGATCCTCGGAGACAATGTCCTTCCTCTGCACCAGGCCCATCCACAGGCAGCTGACAGGGCCTGCAGTGATGGCCATCCTTACTACCTTTTTAACTTCCTTTTTGTTTTGTTTTTACAGGGATGGTGTCATCTTTGCAAAAGGACGTGTTAGCAAGGGATGAGCAAGTCCAGCAACTGAAGGAGGAGGTGACTCAACTCAAAAACCAGAACAAAGAAAAGGATCACCAGCTCGAAGCCCTCGGCTCCAGAGTGAGTGCGGTGGCCTCAGCGTCTTGTAGCTCTCGGTGAAAAGCACTCAGCGGGGTCGTGGGACACACTCGCCTCCTCTACCTTGGGCTTGGCTTTACATTCCACACCCTCCTCTTTCACGATGAGGAGATGGGACCAGTGCCCAAGGCATAAGGAGGATAGTGCCTGGGTTGGCCAAAGCGAGCTGCACCCACCCGGTAAGACAGAAACAGGTGGCCAAGTGAGCGTGCGTGTGGCTCAGGGTAAGCAAGACGCAGGTTCAACCCAGCAGACGTTTTCTAACACCTATTACGAATTCGTCTCTTTAATCTCTGCAACAAGCAGATCTGTGAGCATGCATTTCTATAGCCAGGCTTAATAGTAAAGCAGAATTGGATGCCACCGGGTGCCAAGGAAGACCCCCTTGGGCTCCTGTCTGTCCTGGTCACCCCTGGTTCAACCTTCAAGCACAATGTCGAAGGTCCAGGTACAGACATGCAGACTTCCGTTTCTTCCCCTAGACTTCACCGTGCATAAGAATTCCTCTGCAGGGGCCAGCAGCTGGTGTGGTGGTTAAGGTACTGGACTCCCATATGGCTGACCACGGTTTGAGTCCTGGACCTGACAGCCTGCTTCCTCCCTTTCCCTTTCTCGCTCTCTGTCTTTCTCTTGTCACTTTAAAAGATAATAATTATTATAATAACAAATAAAGTTAAGTAAATAAACAATTCTAAGGAAAAAAATTTTTGAGAAGTTTTTTGCTATAGGGCGTGTGCGCTCGCCAGAAAGACAGAGAGAGACAGAGAGACAGAAAGCAAGAAATCACTCCCTGGGGAGATGACCATGTCGCAATCCCTTCTCCTCCATTCTCCTCTCAGGATCTTGGGCACGCACGCACATGCACCCAGTGTGAGTCTAAGCCGCCCGGTCCAGGACTCAAACCGCGGTCAACCACATGGGAGTCCAGCAACATAGCCATTACGCTAACTGCTGGGCCCAGAAGAAAATTTTTTAAAGAATTCCTCTACATAAAATGAAGCTGGTAGACAAGTTAATAACTTTCTAAGTATAATTTTGACTATTTACAAATTTTCCCTCAATGCTCTGACTTTAGAATTCCGATAAGATTTCTCACCATCTGTGTGATGATGGCTCCGTGAGTCAAGGCAAAACCGAATCACTCTCCTCTCGAGTGGCAAACACAGGTTGCAACAGCTGCCTGACCCGTTAGCCAGGTCTGCAAGGGTGCCAAGTGAGTCCAGGATCTTGAGGGTCCGAGAACAGACAGCACAGTAACATCTGTGCTTATTACGACCCCCTGTTTGGAGCTGCCGAGAGACAGAGCCTGAGCCTGGAGGTCAGACAGAACAGGGGCTCAACACACCAACGTATTTGGCTCCATTTTCTTATCGGTGAACTCGGGATAACAAAATCCTTCTGGAGAAGTGAGAGGCTGATTTTAATGGTGCTCATCTGCCTCTGTGCCTGGTCAACCCCCTCACCAAGCCTTCTGCACTAGTTCCTCCCAAGCAGATTGAACTCCTGGATGAAATGAATGACTGCTGTTCTGTGTGCGTGTGTGTGCACACATGTATGTGTGTGCATGTGCATGTGTGTGTGTGTGTTGGGAGTAGGAATGGGTTGTAGAGGTGATGCTAAATTTTAGAAAAATAGATAATACGAAAAGGCAAAATTAGAGAAGAAAAAAATGCAACCTTGAAAAAAAAGAAATATAGAAAAACAGCATCTATCTGGCTTTTTTCCCCTCGGAAAGTGCATCTGGGTTGTTTTTGTCTGCTTCTCATTGACCTTGGCACAAGGCCTGTGTTCTCGGGCTGCGCTTGCCATGGACTTCTCATCACCAAAGGTATTGCTGTCGTGAACCTCTGGAATGCTGTCTTAGTGCATTACTGGAGCTAACAGAAGAACCGGAGACTGAGTGAACTTAAGGGAATAGAGGAGTACTGACCCACAGTACTGGTGGCCAGAACATGACCAGCAGAAGCAGAGGACGGTGGGCACAGGCAGAAACAGCTGTCAGCAGCTCTTTCTCATAACAACCTGCTCTTGAGAGAACTCGTCACTTCTCACGAGAGCTAGAACTCACTGGGTCTCTCGAGACACCGTTCGTCTGTCCGTGAGAGTGTTGCCTCCACGACCCAGTCACTACCCACTAGATCTCTCCTCTCAGACCATCATACTGGGGACCAAGCTCAAAATCATGAATCCTCGGGGGACAAACCATTACCCAGACCATAACAAATGCCTGGCGTTTTTCTTAATTACATGTGACATGTGTGTTAATTTTAGAAAAATAGATCATAAGAAAAAGCAAAATTAGAGAAGAAAAAAATGCAAGCTTGAAAAGTCAACATCAATATTTTAGTGTATATTCTTCTAGTCTCGATACATGATCTAAAAATATATGTGCATATGTATATAACAATGAATTTACACTATATATATATTTTTAAAACTATAAATACTGTTTTCCACATTCATAAATAAAAGCTATGGAATGAGCCAGCAGGCGGTGTGATGGTTAAGGCGCTGGATTTTCACATGGCTGAATGTAGTTCCAGTCCTGGATCTGGTGGCTTGAAAATCACACCCAAGTGTATCTGTGTGTGTCCAAAATCCCAAGAGGAGAATGGAGGAGAAAGGACTGTGGAATGACCATCCCCCTGGGAGAGAGAGGTTTCTCACTTTCTCTCTCCCTGTCCATCTCCAGGGAGCACATGTGCCCTATGGCAAAATCCTACCAAAATAAAAAAGAAAAAGCTAAGTAATGTTCTCTTTTTTTTTGAGAATTATTTATTTAATTTAATTTTTTTAACTTGATACAGAGACAGATGGAGAGAAAGTGAGAAAGAAAGCTGCTAGGTCCAGAACTTGAACCCTGGTCAACCATGTGGGAGTCCAGCACCCTAACCACCACACCACCTGCTAGCCCCCATAATGTCCTCTTGAAGGTGTGCTCTGTAACAAAGTAGTGCCCTGTTATTGGACACGGTTATTTTCTTCTTCCCCCCACCACCCAACTGTTGCTAACAATACCATGAAGAACAGCCTTGAACCTTCAGATTTGCAGATCTACCCAGTCATTGTCCTTAGGATATTTTCCTGAAGTGGAGTTTCTGGGTCAACCGGGGCTACCTCACTCTGCTCTTCATATGCCTGCTGCTGCGTTGTCCCTAGAAAAGCTGTCCCATTTCCGCTCCCCCCACCAGGGCACTTGGAGCCATGAGAAGTACCTTGCATAAAGCAGTAAGGGCCGCCCAAGCTCCGTAGTGACCCCTCTGAGGGCATCAGTGTGTGTCCCTGAACCCAGCTCTCCAACGCTGGATTTGCCTTGGTCGGAGTTGCCGGCCCCTGACAAAGACTCTGTAGTCTTCATTCCTCGGATTGGTGAGGGGGAGAAGCAGGCACTGCAGCAGGATCCTGTGTGTCGTCAGACTCAAATGGCCTTGCCTGTGGGGCTCTGGGAGGGTGTTGGCCTGAAGCAGCAGGAAATGCTCTCAGGAGCAAGCACAGGCCTGGGGACCCTGCAGACCACCCACGTGCCGGCGTTGGCCTGTTTCTCCACAGTGCTCAGTGCTAAAAGAAGAGTTAAAACGGGAAGAGGCCCACAAGGAGCACAGGGAAGCCCAGGAGAAGGAGTTAAAGCTCTGCAAAACTGTGAGTGGAACTTCCCCATTTGTAGATGCCCACAGAGAAACGGCCTTTGACCTCGGGCTCTTGGTGGGGCCCTTGGCCCAGTAACCCAGGAAGCTCTGGGACCTTATGTTTGTTTGTTTTATTTTTGATCAATAAATTTGTCTCTACCCCCAAGGAAGAGTTGGGTAAAAACTTACTCTCCTGGGAACCTCTGGGTCATCAGCTCTACTCGGCTCCCTCACGGAGCTTTCCGTGGGGCTGGGCTGGAAGTCAGATGGAGTCGGGGACGAGGAGCTGGCCAGTTGGCTACCACATTCTGCTAGAAGTCCATCCTGGTCCCTGCCCTGGACCTGTGATCCCCAAACCCAAGACCCACTGTCACTAGTTGTGCCATAGCCACAGGCACTATCGTGACACAAATGGCTTCCTTAAGTATTTTTATTTAAGTACATAAATTTTATACCGCTATATAAAATCAAAACAAAAAGGAAAGATATCACCTACCTTAGAAAGAAGGCAATCATAGAAATAAATACGAGGGGGCCAGCAGCAGGTGTGGAGGTTAAGGGGTTGGACCCCACCTGACCATCTGCACTGGTAGAGTCTTGGACCTGGCTGCCTGAAAAACATGCCAGACATGTGTACACGCATGCCCAAAATCCCGAGAGGAGAATGGAGGGGAAGAGATTGTGGCATGGCTGTCCCACTGGGGGGTGATTTCTCATTTTCCTCTTTCTCTGTTTGTCTCTCTGTGGCAAGTACATGTGCCCTAAAGCAATACATACATGCATTCAATGACCAGATGACCGTTAGAATTAAAATGTCAGGCCAGCCGGTGGCATGGTGGTGAAGGCAGCTGCATCCCACATGACCAACTGCGCAGTTCAAGTTCCGGATCTGTGGCTTGGAAAACACATGGGGTGCATGTGAGTGCATGCCCAAAATCCCAAAGGGAGAGAGAAATGGAGGAGAAGGGGTTAGAGAGTGACCTCCCCCCCTGGGGGGGGTGCTTTCTCACTTTCCCTCTCTCTGGCAAGCACACCTGCCCTCTGGCAAATTAGAAAAATTATAAATAAAAATGCATCTTCCCTGTGCCGCCTGAACCCTCTTGTCCGCCGTCACATGCTGGGACGCACGTGCCTTAGATATGGGGAGACATGTTTCTGTCCACGCCAGGCATTTCCACTCTCTGCCTCGGACAGAAAAATAGGCAGCGTTCATTGTTCTGTTCTTCCCAACCAAGCCCTGGCATCTTCCCCCCAGGTGGTCCTTCTTTGGATTGATTTTAAAAATATACTCCCCAAAAAAGAATTCTCATAAACTGATGGCTACCTTTAGTGTTTAATCCGAGATGTATGCTGATTTCCAAAAGAAACTAAAGATTTTCCTTTGTCAGCATTTTAAATATACCAATTGAAGAAATAAAACAAAAAAAATAAAACAACTTTGCTCACAGATGGAGGGCTTTCTCGCAGAAGAAAATTGTTCCAGAATAGGTTTCCACCTCAATGAGTCCCTTGTGCCCCCTTAATAAGCCCGTGCCAGCCCAGAACGCGACTCAGGGAAGCTGACTCCTCTGTTGTTGAAACTTTTTCAGCAAATCCAAGACATGGAGAAAGAAATGAAGAAGCTCAGGGACGAGCTGAAGAAGAGTTGCACTGTGCAGACCGTGTTCTCTAAGACCCTGCGAGAGAAAGGCAAGGTACGTACAACCAGGACAGCGACTGCCCAGGGCCATGCCCTCTCCGTGTATCCTCACAGCGACCCATGTGGTCGATGCTGGTATCACTCCTCTTTGCAGTTGAGAAAACTGAGGCTCCCAGAGGTAAAAGTTACTCAGAATAGTGGCGCCAGGACTTGAACTCGGGTTGGCCAGACACCAAAGCTCCCATAAGTAGCCACTAGGCTAAACTGCATCCCAGAACTGCCTCCTGATTTTTTGTAGTAATCTCTACTCCACCTGCAGTTCCCAATAGGCTTGATGTTGCTTAATTATTGTAATGTTCCACCCCCTTGTAAATAAAAATATTTTATTGGGTTGTCAGAAAAGTCATGACATAGACAAACATAGAAAAATACATCATGACTTTCCCGATGACCTAATAGTTGCCTACCCTAGACTCGTGTTACCCATCACAGTAGCCGCCAGCCACACGTGGGTATTGACAGTTTCCATTACGGATGGCCTGGACTCACACTTGCCATGCAATACGACATTTAATAGGAACCATACTTAGGGGACCAGCAGTTGGTGTAATGGCTATGTCACTGAACTCTCATGTAATCTACCGCGGTTCGAGTCCCAAACCCGGTGGCTTAAACTCATGCCGGGTGTGTGTGCATGGGTGCCCAAGATCCCAAGAGGAGAATGGAGGAGAAGGGACTGTGGCGTGGACATCCCCCCTGGGGGGTGATTTATCACTTTCTGTCTCTCTGTCTCTCTCTGTCTTTCTGGTGAGCACATGCGCCCTATAGCAAAAAAGCTCTCAAAAAAAAAAAAATAAAGAAACCATACTTAGAATTTTGAATTTCGGTCTTTTCCCAGACCGGCAATGTGTGGGCAGCGGCAGTAGGCCACAGCTCCCCATTAGCCACGTAGTCACGGAGATGACACACCCACAGGTGACAGTGGGCTGTAGTGCCAGCCTCGGCGTCTTTTGGATATTGTGTTTGCATCTTCATGTCCGGCATGTCTACGAAATGCCCATCGGGGTCTCCTGCTTTTGGTGAGAGGCCATCACACGTGATTAGGACTCTGGCAGTCAAGGTTCTTGACCATTTTACCCTTTAAGCACATTTTTTTCTTGCTAGTGGGACCATGTTCTCGCAGGGAGAGAGGAATAGGGAAGGGGAGAATGCACCCCCACAAGGCATGGCCATGCCACAATCCCTTCTCCTCCATCTCTCCCTTATTTTGGGATTTTGAACACAATTGTACACACACATGGCATCTTTTTCTTTTTTAAAAAAAATGATTTATTTTTATTTATTATTACTATTTTTTTTTAAGTTTGCTGTAGGGCACATGTGAGAGAGAGAGAAAGTGAGAAAGCAAGCCACCAGATTTGGGACTTGAACTATGGTTGGCCATGCAGGATTCTAGCACCCTAACCACCACACTATATGCTGGCCCCATGCCTGGAGTGTTTTTCAAACTGCCGTGTCCAGGACTCAAAGGGCACAGTTAGCCGTATGGCTGCCTCAACCACCAGGCCATAGGCTGGCCCTAAATGCATTTTTGACTTAACAGTATTTTCAATTTACAAAGGGTTTATCAAGACATTACCCCCTTGGTAAGTGAAGGCACATCTACAGTTAAAAGTTAATAAAAGAAAATTTAGTTTCCCAGTTGCACTAGCCACACCCCAAGTGCCCAGTAGCCATGTGTGGCAAGTGTGTGCTGTACCAGACAGCACAGATAGGGGATATTTCCCTCAACACAGGCAGTTCTGGTGTCTCAAACTGATGGTAAGAGGCCTCTTTCGGCAAGAGAAGGGAGGCCAACTGAGTTGTATAAAATACACTTTTGAATCATATTCTAAATTTTTAAACCAAATATTTTTAGGGTCCTGAGCAGGGTGGACACAATTTGTATTCTTTCGACTTGAATCATCTCTTTTATCTGATAAGAGACTGTTGGTCACTAAGAAAACCAAGAACGTTATAAGAGCAAATCTAAGTGGCAGAGAGATTCTAGGGGCTTGATCGGAATGATCTGGAAAATAAAGGCAAATGATCCCATATTTTCTCCAATTTTTACTTAATATATCTACCAGAAGCTAAAACCATTAAAACCTCACAAGCTAAAATGTATACTAAACAAGCTGCTGTTTGATGAATCACATCTTGTTGATATTATTGAAGCGAGCATAAGTTGTCCAGATATAAAAGTTGACTTGGAAGAAATAATTCCCACAAAACTAACGATTATAACCACACAGAGTAAAATTTATTGACTAAAACTTTAAAGCATCAAATATTCTTGAAAAGTTCAAATCTACAAAATATTGGGGGGGGAAATGGACTTGGTAGAAATGAGTCACCAAACGAAATATACAGTGACAGAGCTATGATGGGTGAAAATTCGATAGGGATCATAAAAACTATAGCTGAATCAGATCATAATTACACATTTTACCCAGAAAAGAATGTATCTAGGTAAAGGTAATTTCAGGAGAATAGAAATAAGATGGAAACATTTGTAAATCTGTTAATTTATTAATTAATTTCGCTCTGGAAAATACCCTCTCAGTGAAAACAAATTTACTCTGGTATATTTTTCACTTAAATAATTGTAGTCATGAACATATCATCAAACTGCTTTCTGGTATATAACTCTTCTTCCAATCAAGGCAATAGCTACATTCCGTAAGTTTTAGCATGTAGTGTTTTCGTTATTATTCAGATCAAAATACTTTCCAAATCCCATTATGATTTCTTCTTTGACTCATGGGTTATCTTGAAATAATTTCCTAATCCCTAAATAGGAGAATTTTCTGCTTACCTTTTTGTTGCTGATCTCTACCTTAATTAATTGTGCCAGAGGTCATCCTCTGTGCAATTTCGATCTTTTGAAATTAATTGACACTGGCTTTATAACCTGTATGTGGTCTGGTCAATTTGGGGCTCACATGTGCACTTGAAAAGACTATGCATTCTATAGTCGTTTAGCACTGTATTCTGTTTGTGTCCCTTAAATCAAGTTTGCCAGTGATATTCAAAACTTAAATGCTCTGAATTGACTTTTTTTATCTGTGTGTTCTGTCATTGAGAGATGTGTTGTTTTTTTTTTTAATCCCATTATGATCGTAGATTTGTCTCTCTCTCTTTTTTAGTTAGTATTGTCAATTTTTGCTTTATACATTTTGGGCTACATTAGTAGGTGCATAAAATTTATAAGTGTAATACTCCCTGTCGAATCAAACCTTTGACCCTCACCAGTTGTCCCTCTTCATCTCCAGTAGTGTTTTTTTAAGTCTATTTTGTCTCGAATGTAGCCTCATTGGTCACACTAGCTTTCCTTTGATTACAATGTTCATAGCGTATATTTTTGTACTTTTATATTGCTTTCTTCAAGTTTAGATATACCTGTTGTTAACAGCCTTTAGTGTTTATAAAACCCAGTTTGATGATCTTTGTTTATTAGCCCACTTACATGTATTGGGGTCTGACCTTCCTACACAGTGCAAGTTGCACTGCCTGTGCTGTTCCTTTTCCTCTTCCTTCTTGTCTTCTTCTGAGTTGATTTTTTTTTTTTACCATTCTTTTTGTTCTTGTATTGACTTGGAAATGTTTCACTCTTGTACTCTTCTTTTAGTAATAATAACATAGTAACATGAATTTATGACTTCCCCAAATCCAGCACTTACTGTTTCTCACTCCTTCACAATTCCCTTAGTGGTAATTCTAAAGGTTAAAGCATGCATTTTCAGTTCACTGAATTCCCGTTTGCATTGACAATGGCGTCCTCCTTTCTAATGACATAATAACCTTGGACGTTGACGCTTTAACTTCACTTACCCCATCCAGACCTATGTGGCATTGCAGGCGTTTTCTAAACATCTCTCACATTATCAATATTTTCATACCGTTGATATCTGTAATCATACCTCATGGTTGCATCTTTTCTATATCTCTGATCATCTGTTTGGGATCAGTTTTGTTCTCTCTAAAGAATTTATTTTGGGACCAGCAGTTAGCATAATGGCTATGTCGCTGGACTCCCATGTAGTCAACCGAGGTTAAAGTCCCAGACCCAGTTACTTAAAACTCACACCAGGCACATGTGCATGTGTGCCCAAGATCCCGAGAGGAGAATGGAGGGGAAGGGATTATGGCGTGGGCATTCCCCCTGGGGGGGGATTTCTCACTTTCTGTCTCTGTGTCTCTCTCTGTCTTTCTGGCGAGCGCACGTGCCCTATAGCAAAAACTTCTCCAAAAATAAAAAAGAAAGAAAGAAAGAAATTTACTGTTTTCCTTCAATGTGACTTTGTTGATGACAAATTCAAGGGTGTCTGTGTGTGTGTGTATGTGAAGTGTCTATATTAGTAGTTACTTTCTTTCAGCCTTTAAAGATAGCATTAAATATATCATTCTATTGTCTTTCGGGTCCTATTGTCTCTATTTAGAAGGAAACCATTAGTCTAATGTAACAGTTATATGTAATTCTTTCCTTTGATATATAGCAGTTTCATTATGATCTATCTGGGTATGCATTCATTTTTATCTTGTTTAGGCTTCCCGAATCTTTGGCTTAATGTTTTTTCCTTAGTTTGCGACTATGTACTACAAGCAGTGGGAAGCTATGGGAGGCTTTTGATCAGGGGATTGATAGGATTCAATTTATAATTGATAATGTGAAAATGATAGCTACAATTTTTCATGTTCCAGGCATTAAACACTTAGTATCTTTTCATCTTCACAATACCTCTATGATCCAGAAATTACCACGCCCATTTTACAGAGGAGAAAATCAAGGTGCAGAGCGAAGTAATTAGCCCAAAGCCACACAGCACAGGAGTTGCAAAGCCGGGACCGGAAGTCACCTTTGACTCCAGTTGTAGTGATACAACCACCGGTCACGTGTCATGCCTTTTTTTAAGGTTTTGCTGGTACATGTGCTCACCAGAGAGTCAGAAACAGTGCGAGGGAAAGTGAGCAATCACCCCCCCCAAGGGGGATGACCATGCTGCAGTCCCTTCTCCGCCATTTTCCTCTGGGATTTTGGGCATGCTCGCACACACGACCAGCCTGATTTTCAAGCTGCCAGGTCTGGGACTTGAATCAGGATTGGCCACGTGGGAGTCCAGCACTGTAACCACTGCGCCACCTGCTGGACCTCGTCACACGTAACGATTTCCATTGAAAATAAACAAAATTTAAAATTCAGTTGCCCATTCACACCAGCCACATTCCCAGTGCCCGCTCACCAGACGTTAGTGGCTACCACGTAGCACAGATTAGGGGCACTTCTGTCATTTTGGAAAGTTCCCTCCCAGGGCCGCGCTGTAGCCTCGTAGCTCTGAGCACCGTGGAGGCCGTGTGGGAGGAAGTCAGTTAGCAGCATGGAGGCCCGTCCTCGCAGGCCAGAGGTTCTCCATGCCTGGCCTGATGCTGTGCAGAGCAGGAGCGCCCCAAGTCTCTGATACTGGATGCAGTGACAAGGTTCTGCTTTATGGTGGTGACATGAGGAACAGGAGTAACAGGCTTGGTGACGCTGGGCATGAGAGATGGAGCGGAGTGGCAGCTGAAGAGGACTCGGAGGTTTGGGGCTGGGGAGCTCAGAGCAAAGTCCAGAGTGACCCCTGCTTCAACGGCTTGGAAACACCTGTGGACGTCGAAGGCCGAGCTGCTCGGAGTCGGAAGGATTGCACAGAGGAGGGACTGAGGCTCCTCCAGGGCAGCCTTATTAGAGTCTCGCCTCTGGCTCTCACCGCTCAGTAAAAGCACAAAAGGGCTTTAGTAATATTATTACAAAATCTATGTGACTCCTCTATAGCCCCCCTAGTAAACAGCTTGTGAAGCAATTTAAGCACAAAAATCCCTTCATTCAGGAAAGTTTGCCTCATTTTTTGGTAGTGCCAGAACCCTGGCTCAGCCCATGCTCAAAAATTGTTTACTGTTTAAAAATTAAATGGGCCAGCTGCAAGGGCCTATCGTGGCCAGCAGGGGGCAGCATCCAGCATGCCCAAGCTCACCTGACATGGCTGTTAGCCAAGCGAGGATAAGCAGGCAAGCGTCCCGCTCGGAAGGCCTTCTTTAGCAGGCTGCAATTCTTCAACAGCCACTGCTTAGCCAGCCTCCCAGTGCAGTTTCCATTGGTGAGTGTGTTAAAAGTGGTACCAAGAAATACTGCTGCGTTCACAGTAATAAACCCAACAGTAACCTTTCCCAAGTCCCCATCACAGGCCAGTTACTGATGGTGTTAGGGTGCTGCTGCATGGCGGAGATCCCCGCCGCGCACAGGCCTCACCAGCACCTCGCACACCTGCACAGCCCTGAACACAGTGGCATCGTTATCCCCACTCGACAGAGGTGCACACTGAGTCCCAGCCAGTGCACAGACTTTCCCGGGGCCTTGCAGCTTGTCAGGAACCCAGCCGGGACTGGAGCCTCGCACCAGACCAGCATGGTTAAGCCCAGGGTGCACGGCTGGACCCTTTCCCCCAGCGGGAGACGCTTTGTGATCCTGACTCCACCGTGTGCATGCCTATGACCCCTGACACCTGGGCTGCAGCTGTCCCTGCCCCTCAGGGACCTCCCCACACACACAGCCATTAGACCTCCTAAGGAGTTTCCCCAGAGTGCATTATAATCCCATTAGCAGCAAGCACATGCTTTCATCATCATTTCAGGTTGAAGAGAAGCTTCAAGAGGATTCCAGAAGGAAATTGCTTCAGCTGCAAGAAATGGGGAACAGAGAGAGCCTCATTAAAATCAATTTGGAGAGGGCAGTAGGTCAGGTAGGCGTGTTCCGGAGCCCCTCAGGGCCCACTTTCCCCCGTGATGCCCTGCAGCCACACGGCCAGCGCCGGTAAGAGAACGGGGAGGACACGAGGCAGGAGGGCCCACAGGGTCCAAGTCTCTCATTAATCTCAGGGCAGAGGCCTTCATGGCTTCTCATCCCAGGGGTCATGCTGGGAAGCTTCCCACTCTAATAGTCCACCAGGACCTGTGACCCTGACCACACAGCCAATCCTGCGCCAAGCCCCTTGACACCAATGGTGTTTCTAGTACTGTCTCCCTAATGCTTCCAGTCCCGACATTTGCCCAGTCTTTCTACCTCCAGGCCACCAGCAGGTGTCACAGTCAGTGTCCCTAAGGAAATGCCACTCCTCTAAATAAACCGAAAGCCCTGAGAGTCCAAAGTCCATGCTAGACAGAGAAGTTCCTCGGGAAGGGAGGTGGGCAGCTGTGACCTAGCTGGCCCAGAGGTGCCATTTCCCTGACACCAGCCCGGGATGGCCCACTGGCCCTGCCTGGCAGTACGGCACAGCCGTGAGGACCAGGATGAGCAGTGAGACTTGCCAAAGGCTCGAGGAGAGTAAACGGGGAGACCAAGATGGGAGGCCATGACCCTCCAGGGTCAGAACCAAGGCAGCCCCCTTGGTCTCCCACACCAGGGGCCCTCTCCTGGCCACCATGGCTCCAGGGGACCCACAGAGCGTTCTCTGTGCGTGTTTGTGCTTTTTACTATGGAAGGAAGGGTCCACCATGTTGCTTGTGGATTCTCAGAAGGGTCTGTGGACCATCAAGAAAGGTTAAGAACCACGACCCACAAAGGAGCCTTCCACACCACCCAGCCAGCTCCAACGCCCTTCCATTCGCTACCATCCAAACCCAACCAGGCAGCAGGACCAGGTCTTTCCAGACCGAAATTCAGAGGCACACGCAGTTGCGTAATAAACGACTGGACAGAATTGAAAGCCCCTTCAACCAGTGTCACCGCCACCACCCAGCACGACTTCTGCAGGGTGCCAGCCCTGATCAAGACAGAGGGCCTGCCAACCTGAGCCTCTCCTTACGCACCTGGGCTACCCCTCACCTTCCCTTCATCCGGCATCCCCCCGACACACTGATTTCAGGGCGTGACCTGTGCCCTTGGCCCAGATCAAGGTCTTTGTTGTAGCTCTGGGCAGAGGTCATTCAGGAGGATTTTCAGAGACCCTGGGGTTCTTCCAGGTTGACCTTGCCACCTGCAGCCTTCCCACCCCCTTATCTCCAAAACCCTGTTCTCTATCTAACATCTGCCACTCCCCAGGCAAGGGACTGCAGGACCAAGCCCACGGTCCAGGCTCCTCTCCCACCCTGGTACCTGTGGGGAGCCTCTGATGGCATCACCGAGGCCTCTCGATGCAGCCAGCTCCCTGGGCAAGCTGGGTCTATTCTCGTGGCCATGGACAGGAAGACAGCGTGGCGCTCGCTTGCCACTGCACCTCCTGGTGTCCCACAATTTCCGCGATAGACTCCTGTGCCTCCAGACCCCTTAACTTTGAGACCCCGTGACTCTTTGGGTCCCTTCGAGGCTCTGCTTTAGCTCACAAGCATGTTTTGCTAGGTACCCAAAACCGGGGCAGAGAGCTGCCGGGTCAGTGGATTCACAGGGAGAGTTGGGCTTTGCCCTAACTCCATATGGAATCCAGCACTCCTTGGACTTGTGATTCTGCGCGCCTGGTGAATGTAGCCATGCCGTTTCGTCCACGTTCATGTGAGAACGCCCACACCCAGACGGGCTGGATACGACCTGCTAGAACTGAGGGCTCTGACGTTAACAGATGTTTCCGTAGGGATGTTGAGTGCCTCGTCTATGCCAGGCACTGTGCTGGGCTCTAGGGACGCAGAGGTGAGCACGAAGGACACAGTCTTCGGGGATACCCAATGGCAGAGAGAGCGTGTTCCTCTCTCCCCAGGCACCCTCGCTGATTACACAATTTACTTGGACTGACGGCCTCAATATTTATTTCACAGTCTGGTGCCAGCTTAGCAATTACGAAGAGCGCTCCCAGCCCCAGACTCCCCACTGGATAATTGGCAGCAAGTGGCCCTTTGGAGCGCCTGAGACGCGTGCGCTCTGACGGCGTGCCGTGCGTGCGTCGCTTGGCTCAGGCAGGCGGACCCAAGAACTCATTAAAGCCTGCTGCTTTCTTTGTTCTGTGGGTCCTGCCACTCCCAGAGTGCGGGGAAGACTTTGGTAACATGCAGTAACCCTTAGGCTGTGCAGACCTAAGTGATTCTTCCTGCACCCTGTGATGGAAACGTCACCCCCAGGCTTGTGGCTCCCGCTGCCCCAACTGACACTGTCGTCCTCCTCCCCCCTTAACTGCAGCTGGAGCATTTCCGGAGTCAAGTCATCAAGGCCACCTATGGACGAGCGAAGCCCTTCCCGGACAGACCCGTCACCGACCAGCAGGTTAGCCTGTCTCTCTGCCACGTGACTCCTTCACTTTCTCCTTGGGGATCTGGATCTTCCAGACCCTGGGAGCATATGCTTCTGTTTTTGTTGGTGGCACATATTTTTCACACTGTTGCTACACCATAAAGATTTGTTTTGATTTTATGGGATTTCCTGGCTTTTGAAGGAAGAGCCGGTTACACTGCCTTGCAATGTTTCTGTGAAATTCAGATTAAGCCATTGAGACTTAGTTCTGGTCGCCAGACATACGGTGTGTCCAAGAGCACCGTGAGAAGGAGCCTGCATCACGGCAGTCGGGTGCTCTGGCGTGCTCCTTCCAGAAAGGGCACTGGCAGTGGGAGTGCCCACCCCGCTGGGATGGTTGTGTTCTGATCTCTCTCCAGCCGGCTGTGTCAGCTGCAGGTAAGAGAGCAGGCATGGGCTGTTTCAGCCGACCAGGGAGAACCTGCAGTTGTGTTATGAGCTCAGTGTTGCGAATCACAGCTGCAATGCAGAAGTGTCTAGATCAAACTCATGGCAACAACACAGGCCTTTGGCTCTTAGAGATAATCTCTGCGGGCCAGCAGGTGGCGTACGGTTACGTTGCTGGACTCCCATGGCCAACTGAGGTTCAAGGTCCAGACCTGGCAGCTTGAAACTCTTGCCAGGCATGTGTGCGTGTGTGCCCAAGATCCCAAGAGGAGAATGGAGGAGAAGAGATTGTGGAGTGGCCATCCTCCCTGGGAGGGGATTTCTCACTTTGTCTCTCTGTCTTTCCGGCAAGTGCATGCGCCCTATAGCAAAAATCTCTCAAAAAGAAGAACCTCTGACCCTCCTAGGAAAGGTGTCCTGGTAACAGAATTGATGTTCTTCCAAGTCACCCCCCGCCCGTCAGGGCCTCCCCCGACCTGCAGAACTGGAAATTGTGGTTGACATGCTCTGGTTCTTTTCTCCTGGAGCCACCTGTGAGTCCCCATCTCGCTCTCTTTTTCTTTTTCTTGTTCTCACCAGGTGATAGAAAAGATTACCCAGGTCACCGAGGACAACTTCAACTTTCAGCAGAAAAAGAAGACACTGCAGAAGGAGACACAGCTCAGCGCGACCAAACAGGAGGAGACGACGGAGAACATAGAGAAGCTGAGGACGTCTTTAGACAGCTGCCAGGTGGCCTTTCCTGATGCTTGTCACACATGTCCCTGCTCTCTATATTGCACATGCTTCTCTGGGAAATGATCCAGCCTTCACGGAGCAGCTTGGGCAGAAATACTCTTTCCTTCCTTTGGAGAATAAAAAACAAACAAACAAACAAACAAACAAGCTTCAAAAAACACCTCAAGTGAACCTGGCGTGGCCAAAGACAGACGCTCGAGCGTCTACGTATTGAGTTGAGCGAACTCTGGCCCCAGGAACAACGAAGATTGCCCCCATGTTGTTTCCAGAGAAACCAAAGAAATGTTTCTGGGTTTCGTTTTTTTTGCTTTTAATTTCATTATAGGGCACTCACCAGAAACAGAGAAAGAGAGAGAGAAAGTGAGAAATCACCCCCCTGGGGAAGATGGCCACGCCAGCCCCTTCTCTCCTCCTCTCAGGATCTTGGGCACACACGTACATGTGCCCAGCTTGTCTCTCAAGCCACGGTGTTTGGAACTCAAACCTCACAGTCAGCCCCAGGGGACCCTGCTGCCTTTACTACCACGCCACCAGCTGGCCCAATGTTTCTGGGTTTCTTGCTTTTTTTTTTTTTAAATTTTCTCCCCCCACCCCCCAGCAATAAAAAGCTGCTGCCACCCCTGTTCCCTTTGACTCTGGGGGAGCCAGGACATAGGGTCCAGGTGCCCCTCCGCAGCCCCCACTCCAGATCACGGCTTATCAGACCCGGCAGCAACGTCTGCTTTCTCTGGAAATCAGCAGCTACTATTTCGGGAGTTTGTGCAAATGTCGGCTCGTCAGCCCTTTTTTCAAATCAGGAAGCCACGCCTCTGACCAGCTTTGTGTTGATCTCGGCAGGAATTTCAATGAATAGAAGTAGCCAAGTTTGGTTCTCATCTCGGCCAAACCATCCATGTCAGTTTGGCTTTAGGATCACATACACTTAAAAGTGGGTTCACTTTGACCATCAGAAGTTCAAATCACAGGGGGGCCGGCAGGTGGCGTGGTCGTTGAAAGGCCCTGGGCTCCCACATGGCCAACCGCAGTTCGAGTCCCAGACATGGTGGCTTGCTTTCTCACTTTCCCTCTCTCTCACTCTGTCCCTCTCTGGTCAAATTTAAATAAATAAATAAAGTAAAATAAAATAGTTATTAAAAAAAAAAGTTCAAATCAGAGTACAAAAAACACAATCTCCCTAAAGGAGAGAGAGAGACCAAATCTGGGCTGGCTGGCTGGTGGCATGGTAATTTAAGTGGCTGGATCCCACATGGCCAATCGAGTCCCAGACCTGGCAGCTTGAAGGATGTACCATGCGCACATACATCCATCCCCAAAATCCCAAGAGGAGAGAGAAACGGGGCTAAGGCATTACACTGTGACCATCACTCGTGGGAGATGCTTTCTCACTTCTCCTCGCCTCTCTGCTGCACACACACAAGCACTCTTGGGCAAATTAAAACAAAACAAAACAAAATTGGGACTCGGTAGCCAACACAAGGCGCTACCTGCTTTGTGGCAAAGTCTAGAACGTTGCACCTCGCAGGTCTTGTCAGGCCCCATCTCCGGCCATGGGGTCAGGGCTCCTCAAGCTCTCGTCTCTTTTCAGGCTTGCATGAAAGCGTCTTGCTGCAGCAGAGACCTGAAGAAGGAGCTTGGCCTTCTTCAGAACCTTCGGGTGAGCCCCCCGGTGTCAGGGCTGCAGAAGGTGGTGCTGGACATCCTGAGCCTCTTGCTGTCCTGGCTGGAGGACACGGAGCATCTCCTGCAGGACCTTGGGATCCAGTTTTCCGGCTCCAACAAAGGTTACTGGGACTTTTTCTCACATAGTTGCATGACTCTGAAACGTTGCATTGAATCTTACCATGAGGGGAACATCTAGGAGAAAGATCGTGGGTATTGTGTGGCCCACTAGTTTCTTCTCTAGACTGAGTTTGCTTCTCCACTGGAGAAGTGGTATTCCTTGAGAAAAAAAATGCTCAAGTAGAATGTGATCACTAAAGAAAATGAGGTGTGATTGAGGCCAAAGGAAAACTGAACCAAAATTATACTGGCGTCTGCCTCTCAACAGTTATTGCTGTTATATTCTGTAACTTCCAAGGCATTTTTGCACAGAAATAGAGTTACCCTCTCTACATCTGTTTTCCTCACCTGTAACATGGGAATATTAAGGAGAACTCATCTCTGAGGGTTGTTCTAAGGAACTGAAATGCATTGATCTATCTATCTATCTATCTATTTATTTAGATTTTTGTTAGAGGGTGTGTGCACTTGCCAGAGAGACAGAGAGAGACAGAAAGTGAGAAATCACTCCCGGGGTGAGATGGCCATGTAGAAATCCCTTCTCCTCCGTTCTCCTCTCGGGATCCTGAGCACAAACACACACGTGCCTGGCATGAGTTTTAAGTCCAAGTCCAGGACTTGAACCGTCTGCAAGACAGCCAAGATAACCACAGTCAACTATGTGGGAGTCCTGCGATGTAACCATTATACCCTCTGCTGGTCCCAATCTATGTGTTTATAGTAGTACTCAGCACGGAGTAGGCATCACCTCACATTTACTGATTTTTTGATTCTACAAAAAATAGTGTCACATTATACCCCGTTTGCTCTAGCTCTGTTCCTGGGGGCACATCATCAGGAAGCCCTTTCCATGTCAGTAAACACAGCTGTCCATCATCACCGTTAGCAGTACGAGACTCAAACTGCAGTCGGCCATGTGGGAGTCCAGCGCCTTAACCACCACGCCACCTGCTGGCCTGATGAGATGAACTTTGCTGCATATGTACCTCTTCATCGTATGTATGATCCTGGAGGTAGAAGGGTGTAGACCACTTTGGTTCAACAGAGATTCACTTCCTGCTTCCTAGCCACCAGGCACTGAGCAGGGCAGGGACACAGTGGGTCCGAAACAGGTAGAATCCAGGCCGTGGGCATATGGGTGTTCACTGTGAAATTCATCCAACTCTACAATGGAATATTTTTATTACATATGTTGAGGGTGTGTGTTTGCTGAAAAGAGAAGAGAGAGAGAAAGCACCCTCTGGGAGGGATGGCCACACTGTAGTCCCTTCACGTTCATTCTCTTGGGATTTGGGGCACACACACACACACACGCCCAGCATGTTTTCCAAGCCCCCAGGTTTGGGACTTGAACTGTACTGTCAGTCATGTGGGATCCAACTGCCTTACCCGCCACACTACCAGCTGGCCCTGAAATTATGTATAATTAAATATTAGGGGAAGAAGCAGCCACATCCCTGCCCTCATAGAGCTTATACTCTGGGGCGAGGGTGGGGGAATGAGGCAGCCATTAATGGAAAAACCACTCAAACAAATGTAAAACTGGAAGGAGGATCATTGCTGTGAAGAACCACAGGGTCTGACCTGGTCAGGGAAGAGAGGGCTTCTGCAGGATGCAAAGGAGCTCTTGCCCAGAGAGAGGAGGAGAGCCATTCTAGGCAGAGGCAGCAGGGATGGCCAGAGGAGCATGGCGAGCACAGGAGCCAAACGAAATGGGGGCAGGGCGGGGGCGGGGCAGGCTGGCCAGGGAGGTGAATGGCTGAGCATGCGGGCTCACAGGACTCTGTAGGAGGCTCTGCTTTACCCTAAGGGCAACAAGAGGCCAAGAGAAGATTTTCAGTAAGGGGCTGGTGGCAAGGGTTTGCCCTGTGGTTCAGTCGCCTTGGTCTCAGTGGTAAGTGTACCCGGAGGTGGCCCACAGGGCACACCAGAGCGCAGTGGGGAGGCTGTTGCAGATAGGGCGGTGGATCGTGCTGGGGCTGGGGCAGCGATGGAGAATGGGGAAGAGTCAGGGGCTTTTAAGAGGTAAATCAACAGGCCTCAGGGTGGACTTGGGTGTGGTTGGAAGAGAAATGACAGAGAGAAAGTGACACATGACCTCTAGGTTTCTGATACATTTGGACAGATGAGGGTCCAGCAGGTGATGTGAGGTTAAGGCACTGGATCTCACATGCCCATCACCTCGGTTCAAGTCCCAGACCCGGCAGCTTGAAAAACACAGTGGGCACATAGGTATAGCCAAAATTCCAAGGGAAGAATGGAGGAGAGGGGATTACGGCCTGGCCCTCCCTGCCAGGGCGGGGGTGAGATTTCTCACTTCCCCCACCTCTTCGTCCCTCTCTGGCAAGCACATGTGCTCATGGCAAAAACCTTAAAACAAAGAGGACCGATGTGGCTCCTTCACCAAAACCCAGGGTGAGGAGGGCTGGATGAGGCCCAGGTTGGAGGGGGAGGATGAGCGTGAGGCGTCTGCAAGACAGCCACGATGAGATGCCCGGGAAGCAGCTGCTGCGTGCAAGTCTAGTCGCAGAGAGAAGATGGTGATGTAGCCCCAGCCCGGGAGGACGTGAGCCACACAGCAGGTGGAGGGTGCAGGGACAGTGGGTGGGTGACTAGAGCCCAGGGGCGAATGGTATGGCCTAGGAATGAAGCAGGAGTGAGGCGAGCAGAGCCAGGCCTTGAGGAGCTCCCACATCTGAAGATCGTCGCTGCTTCTTGCCAAATCCCCCTCCAGAGACACTACATGAATTTGACATTCTTGCAGCTGTGAATGAGAACAGGGAGTGATTTTCAACCCTGGTGCTTTCCACATCCCCAGCCAGGCTGTCTCCGCAGTAATCCAGAAGGTGGTGTAAAGTTATTTAAGGGGGAAAAAAAAAAAAGAACAAAATGAGGTTTTCTCCTTTCTTTTTTTTTTTTTTTTTTGGAGAGATTTTTGCTATAGGGTGCGTGCGGTCGCCAGACAGACAGAGACATAGAGACAGAAAGCGAGAAATCACCCCCAGGGGGGATGGTCACTCTGCAATCCCTTCTCCATTCTCCTCTCGGGATCTTGGGCACACACGCACACGCACCCGGTGTGAGTTTTAAGCCACCGGGTCCGGGACGTGAACCGCAGTCGACTGCATAGGAGTCCAGCAACATAGCCATTATGCTAACTGCTGGTTCCCAAGAACAAAACGAGTGTTGAAGTACGCGCCTCGCCCTCACCATATAGTGTAGAGAGATGGGGATGATGGCAGTGCCACGGGTCAGGGCAAGGGGCAGGCCTGGGTCTCCCAAGGACACAGGGGCTTACCAGTCACAGTGTTAGGGTTCTTGTAATCATGGCAGAGTCCTGGGTTTACATGGAATCAGATAAAGCATGGATCAGCATTCTAGTTCTTCATGATTGCAAGGTGGCATGGTGGTTAAGAGTGCTGGGTTTTTGGGGTTTTTTTTTTTTTTTTTGGAGAGGTTTTTGCTATAGGGCACGGGCGCTTGCCAGACAGACAGAGCAAGG